AATGGACCCTTTACATCACAGCAATGTGAAAATTGTGGAGAAAGCTTCGAAGTGTTTGTAATAATACATGTACGTATGGGAAACTTCCTGACAGAATTGTCTTCAAACATGATAAGAGAAGTTGATGTTCAAGAAGACAAGTGTACATTTCTATCGTAGGTTGTGTAACACTACAAATTTGTAAATGACAGCAAAAATGTGTGATATCCTAGGACAGTCGTGAGCACAAAATTCAACTGTAATTTGTGTTACTACTTTGTGCTAGCGTTTGGCTTGTTCAGTTCTAAGAATCATCATAATTTCTAAATCGGTAAGAGTTAAAAATTTTACTATCATACGGTGAAGGCCATTGCCAGCAAATACAGCGGGGGCCTCACTATGTAGATTTGAACAACACTTTTGATGCAATAGAACTTGTCGGCACTCTCCTGCAAAACGTTGGACATTTACAATGTAGTCCAGCTGTATTAGGTTTGAAAAACTCAGCCTATTGGCCAGTAGAATCTGCATTTTTATGACGGTCGTGCAACTATGTTGCAGTTGAAATCTGTTCAGATATATCCTTAAGGCTGAAGGACGATCGATGAACAACGTTACCACCTACAGGTGACAGCGCTTTTCCTGGGCAATCTACTGAGAACAACAGCCCTTCCCGTAAGACAATAACTCTTTCCATGACCCACGTCGTCTTTTTAATGATTGAAAATATCACCATTGTGTCAGTCATATTATAATGACTTCCTGGTCAGTTTTCCTATACCGCATTTTTGTCCACGACGATAACGCCGTACACATGTACGTTGTAAGTTTGAGAAAAACGGTTGCAATAGTTCTAATGTACAAAGCTGTGGTCACATGTCTTGGGTTAGGGTTAGGTGAGCATACCCGGGACAACCGTAGGTACACGGCAGATGAATTGCACATAAAGTTATGATTCACCACTACAGATTTTGCCAGACTTGTAGTGCTTTTAATCTTCTCTAATAGAAACGTTGTTTGAAATCATTATTATTTTGACCCACGATAACATGGTAGCAACCACGGAACAGCGCACCTGTCCTCATGTCAGATCCAGTATCACACACACAGACGGTCCATATATCGATAATATTATCATCAAAGGTACTCAGACCAGGATTGTTGTTGCATTGCGTATTAATTCAGACCAGTTGGAGGGATTTTGTCCCTTTGATGGGAAATGGTTACCCTGCCATACTTGTTACATATATACATAC